AAAAATGTATTTGCTATGAATAAGTCATTGATTGTGCAAAATTCGACCATTCTCTCTCCAGCTCCATTTCTGTCACCGAGTCCATGTTTCCAAGTACTGAATTTTCTTCTTTATTCCCGACTTTTGCATTCCAGTCACCCATTATTAGCCAGAGAAAATAATGTGAATAAGTGGTTATACATTAATGTATTGGCATACCAATTTCTTAGGGTGAAGTTTTTTTTCTCATGTAAATTCTACTTCATTTTAGGTAGTACACAGTGCAAAAAAGGATTAAGTTTTTGTATTTTAGTTCCAAGACTGCCTTCTATTTTCATAACTTTAACCCTTACATATATTTCCTGTCTTCTCATTTTAAAAAATTCTTCACATTGCTTTGTGGCCTAAAAAATAATTAATTGCCACAACCAATTTTAAACACCACATTAATTGGAGAATTGGGTGGGGTCCATTTGATCTATAATTACTTTCTCCCTCCCACATACCACTTGATTGCACACACCTGCCCACTCTTTTTTTTTTTTTTTTGAGACTATAGATTGTAAAAAAGCATCTGTGTGTAAATATGCATCAAAACAAGCCCTGTCTGCAGGTATTTCTAAAAAAGTAGGAGTTCATGATGGGAGAGTGACATTCTAGTTGGCTAGCTCGTTCCCACCTAGAGGTCCTTTCACTTGGCTTGATTACCATTTTCAGCCATCAAAGCAAGTCTGCACTCACTGTGAACTGACCTTTATGATTGACTTGATCAGTAGATTTAAGTATGAAAAATGCTCAACTGTTGTTTGACAGCACTGATTGCTCATCTGTATTGATGAGACTCGTGCCCTCTGGTGGGGGCACTAAGGCCTACTGAGACTGTGCGTCTCTCAATTCAGTATTTATTGATTCTTACTATATGACAGGCACTGCCCTGTATAAGCAATGAACAGTTAAACTCTCTATTTAATAATCCCTGTTAAATTGAACTGAATTCTTTAGAACAGTTATGCTACTTGGAAATTGACTATGACATGATTTATCCCTCAAATGGGAATTAAAATGCAGTAATATATGATGTGAGCTCGACTTGGTGAGTGTATACACATTTGTAAGTAAGAGGGGGGAAAGATATTTTCTGATATAAGCTTGAATCTGGCTCTTTCTTTATGTCTGCTTATGGAAATTAAATATCTTCTGGAGCAGTCACTCAGAAGTTAGTTTCCAAATGGGGAATTTGAAGGATTGGAAGTAGATCATGCTTTTTGCTTAGTCAAAAATAATTTTTTAAAGGTAACCTAACAATGGAAAATGAATAAATACACATGAATATTGTCAAGGTACCACATGTCTTTGTATACTTTTTTCCTAATCCTTTAAGGTTTGATTTATCTACATGAAACTCATAGCAGATGAAGGGAATGGAAGGTTTTAATACAAAAAAAAACCCCAAAGTAATGTACTAGCTTAGCCTATATTTTTTTTTTCCTCTTGAACAATTAGAGATCTTTCCCATTCAGAATGAAATTTCGTAGAATTTTTTTGTCTTCCCACAAAACATCTTATCTTGGTCTGAAAAGAACTCCAGCTCTACACTTGGACATTTGCCTAATCTTTCCTTTGGAGAGTTAACCTGAAAAAAGCCTGCATGTTGGGAAACGCAGAAATATTTCCAAGTGACTTATTTCCTACCCTACTCTCTCTTCTACCTCCACATTATCTTTCTAAAGGATCCCCAAGATGCCATCCCTAGAGGAACCATGTTGGCCATTTTTATCACCACTGTTGCCTACATCGGAGTTGCCATTTGTGTAGGTAAGTTGCATGTACATTGGTTGTATATGGATTGTAAGAGGTCCCATTTTTCTACACACCTTAGAGCATAGATTAAAAAAAAACAAAACAAAAAACACACCACCACAAAACATTGCTAAAAGCAACATTTTAAGTTCTCTTGTTTGGCACCTAAATTTAAGGTTTGGATACTCAAGAGGTTTAAATGCAATTAAACTCTAGTGCAGGTCTATGGGACACGGTTAAAAATTAAATTGTCAAGAAGCAATTTCTAACTTGTGACCATCTCATGGGTATATCCAAAGAAATCAGTGTTCCAGAAGGTTCTCCGTGGCTAGATCGCCATGCCTTTCTTCCTAGTTGCTTCTGGATTCCCTTGACCTCCAACATTTAGATTAGCAGCCCAGAGCATCAGTCCTTATACCACCCAGAGAGTTGTGAGGGTCAGGGTAGTGCTTACCAGATTACCACTCTGCCAGAACATAAAGGGGTGCTATTTTTCTCCTTCAGGGGATAATCTGACTGGAGCACTGGTTCACTTACCGACTAAGAGAAAGCCCAGTGGTTCTAATTCATCAGTTGCTCTGTGTGAGAAAGTTGTGGCAATTTGTTTCCATAATGGTTACAACCTTGGAAACCTGGTGAGGCAGTTCTACTCTGTCCAATAGGCTTGTTACCAGTAAAAAGAGTGAACTTGATGGCAACAGATTTTTGGGTTTGGGAACAAAGCTACTACTTCCAGTACCCATATTCGTTGCCCTGGTGGTGGGAGGCTATACTAACCCAAACTACGTGCCACCAGCACCCTGGAAGAAAGAGAGACAATCTCCTCCTGTGTCATTTTAAGCCTCAGAAACCCGCTGGAGGGTCAGCTGTGAGTCAGTTCCCACTCTGAAGCAGTGAATTGAATGGGGAATAATGTGAAGAAAAGCAAGAGAGAAGTCAGAAGGGGGGTGGAGACAATAAACACCCTTAGGAAAGCAAGAAAAATTTGCGATTGATGACTGCTCATCCTTGTGCTTCTGTCCCCAATATGGAAATGTCACTGTCACCAGTTGGCAGGAAATCAGAACACCACCCAGCTGCTAGCAGTGTGGGCGGCCAGCCCTCACATAGCTAGTGAACAGAAAATGTGTATATTTGCTTGCTATTCTCAAGACTGCCTTTGGTTCCACCTGCTGCCTGCAGCCATGCCTCCTCCTGATTTGGGGCCACATCACCCTTACGCCAGAGGAAGGAATGTGATTTCTGAACATCCATGCTCACCAAGAAGAGAACACTCCTCTTAGTGCACAACAGGGACTGTAGCTCTGGGCTGGGTCACCTGGAAGCTGGATGACCCTTTTATCACAGGGAATACCTCAGTCATTCTATGCTTGCTGAAAGTAAAATTAGAAAAGGAGAAAAATTAACTGAGATTTGTACTTAGATTAATTCTCGCTGCCTCTTCTATGAGAAAATTGGATAAGGTTTCTGGCTGTATTGTGGCATTTCCAAACTTGGTACATGCAAAAAAGATTTTGCTCCAGGGCTTTAGGAAACTGACGTTCTTAAAAATGATACTGAAACTGCCACAAGTTAAACTTCCCAAATGGTTTTCTTCCTCAGATAAACTAAAAATGAGGTAATGAACAAAGCCGGAAGGCTGATTTGAGAGATTCTTCCAGTTTTGGCCACTAAAAGTGTATCATCTGCATCTCCTCACTTTTCCCACGGGAGGAGAAAGAGCAGTTGTGGGTCAATGGGGCCATTAGTGTAAATGCTGGCTCAAGGTCTGGCTTCTGGGAATCTGGGATGATCCATGTTGCAGAGGTTAAAACACACAATTCTCAAAAGTCAGCTTGGCATAATGGATGAGGCAAAATAAATAATGGGAAATAAAGGCTCAGTTCTCCTGATTTCTAGAATAATATAATGCCATTCCTTGGTTTCCTAAGATGTGAGAAAGTAAATCTATCCATTTGAAAAACACCCACTCAGTATTACAAAGCCAGAAATGTGAATTGAATACATATCATGGACAAGGCACTGTCATAGACCATTTAAGAAACAAAGAAGCAAAATAGAGTTGCAACCATTAAGTTTCTTCTAGAGGCAGGAACTAGGTTAACTATCCTAGGCAATGGAAATACCAGAGTTAGTAGGGAATATGAATGAGTCTCAAAAGATGGCAACTTCCAATTACCATCTTATCCCAAGAAGAATTAAATGTGAAAGAAAGATAGGAAAGTAATGTTTAAAGAGGCAGAATCATTTTAAAGAAATGCTAACCCACGGTTGTTTCTCCAGGGGCTTGTGTGGTTCGAGATGCCACTGGGAGTATGAATGACACCATCACCTCTGGCACAAACTGCAATGGTTCCGCGGCCTGTGGGTTGGGCTATGACTTTTCAAGATGTCGCCATGAACCATGCCAATATGGGCTGATGAACAATTTCCAGGTCGGAACATTTTTTTAAAATGCATCATTGTTTTCCTTTTAAAGTGCTATGTGTAATGAAACCTCCAACTATGCCACTGATTTTTTTTTTTAAGTAATTCAATTTTATTTTTTAAGGTATGAGGGTCTAGAAGAGCTATGTGAAAAAACTAGTATTCTTAAAGACTCAATTATAGTCTTTTGAAGAAAAAACAATTTTAATATATATTACTGGAAGTTTTAAAATTTATTGCTTGCTTTTTTAACATTTATTAATTTATTTTATTTTATTTAAATTTATTATTAATTTCAGTAAAAATTTACAGAGACTTTGGATTTCCATTCATTCATTCTTCCCTTCCAGCGCTCTCCCCTACCATCTTGGAAAAGTAAAAGAAAAATTCTTTCATTGTTTTACAAACCCTTCCCCAGGTCCACTCCATCATGTAGCCTTCGCTCTAGATTCCTGTCATGACAAAAATACCTAATCACATATCCCTTTTAAACAGTTTTCTCCCTCATCTGCTTCAATGCAGTATACATTATTGAACCCATCTTTCTCAGTCTCTCTCCAACCCCAAGGTCAGTCCTGTTTTACAACAGTGGCACCATGCAGTATTTGTCCTTTTGTGACTGAGATACTTCACTCGGAATAATGTCCTCCAGGGTTACCCATTTTGAATAATATTGCATGATTTCCTTGTTTTTCAATACAGCATAGTATTCCCTTGTGTGAATATACCACAGCTTCTATATCCATGCTTGTTGATGGGCACTTAGGTTGTTTCCAACGCCTTGCTATTGTGAACAAAACTGCAATAAACATGGGTGTGCAGCCACTGATTTATTATAGATTAATTTGAACACAGATATTTGTGTAGGAAGAAAAGGATTACATGGTAGCAAATTACTGTGGTGCATTTTATGTGCCAGGAGGAAATTAGGCTGCTGTATGAATTTTATCATCCAGGAGGGTGATAAACTATGTAACTTCCAAAAAATTGTGTTCCTTTCCTGGTGGAGAGGAGAAACTTAGATTAGTTAGCCTTTGAAAAGCATTTTATGTTTGAATAGGCCACAGTTTAGAAAAAACCTCTGGTGTGGAATCTTTGTGCCTGATAGAGCCACAAGGGTGATCGTGAGCAGCGGTTGTTGTTATGTGCTGTCAAGTTGTTTTCAAACATAGTGACCCTGAGGTTCAACAGAACAAAACATGGGTCAACCCTGAACTGTCTCCGCCATGGCTACTATGCGTGAGCCCATTGGTGCAGGCACTTTATCAACCTGTCTTGAAGGTAAATGAGGGGGAAGTTAAATTAAGGTAAATGAGGAGGCCATACAGGTAGGTTGGGATAACTGTAGGACTTGGGACATAATAATTTATCTAAATAATCGGGGAGCAGAGGGAGAAGGAAATTTGTCCTGAAGGCTCCATTTATCTATTTTAGCAACCAACAAAGAGAGATTAACTCTGCCCAAGTTATTATTCCAAAATGACTTAAATTGACAGGATTTCATCATGTCTGAGTTAAAAAATTATGTTTAATGAGCACAGAAAAGGCAAAGGCTTGACAAGCCTCTGTGTGCAGGAAGAAGAAAGAAAAATACCTTCAAAAAGACTTATCAACAGCAGGGCCCTTCCCAGATCTTAGTACAGAAAACATTTTCCACTGAGTAGGGTTTCCCATCCTCAAAGAAACATCTCACCATGAAGCAGAATGTGTGCTCAAAAGCCTTGAAATTACTTCCCCCTTTATTCTTTCTAGTGTCTTCATTAGTGTTGTTAGCATTTCTTACTTTTATAAACCACAAAATAAAAGGCCATTTTCATTAGGGGAAGAGGGAAAAGGAAATCTTGATATTTTGAAAATCATGCGGGTGTAGAAATCAACAACCAAAAAAAAACCAAACCCAACTCAAAAAACCAAGTGCCTACCAACAAATGAATGGATAGAGAAGCTGTGGTATATTCACACAAGGGAATACTAGGTTACATTGAAAAACAAGGAACTTATGAAATATTATTCAAATGGGTGACCCTGGAGGACATTATGCTGAGAAAAATATCTCAGTCACAAAAGGACAAATTCTGCATACTGCCACTGCTGTAAAACGAGACTGACATCAGGGTTGGGGTGAGACTGAGAAAGATGAGTTCAATAATGTATCCTGAATTGAAACAGATGAGGGAGAGAACCGTTTAAAAGCAGTAAACGGTTGAGTATTATGGTTATGACAAGAGTTCAGAATGAAGGTTGCATAGTGGAGTGTACTGGGGTGGGCGGGGTGGGGAATTGTATACCAGTGAAGGAATTTTTCTTTTACTTTTCGAAGAGAAAAGTAAATTGGGGGGTGGGAGCAGGGAGAAAAATGCAACAATGAATGAATGGAAATTCAAAATCTATGTAAACGTTAATTAAAATTAATAAAATAAAAAAAAACCCAGCCACCCTAGAAACAATTAGGGTAAAAAGCAGGTTCCATATCCCAGAAATAGATGCATTTGTACACACTCCCCCACCATCACATGTACTGTTGACTAGATGTCAAGGGATCAACAAATGTGTAACACTGGGAACTCAGCTGTTAAGGACCTCTCCAAAGTGCAAAAAAGCAACGATATTAAAGACTAAGGTGATATATGGGGTTTTCAATTGCTTCCTATGCATCTGAAAGTTGGACAATGGCATAAAAGCATCAGTGCCTTTGTACTGTGTTGCTGGAGAAGAGTACTGAAGATATTGTGGACTGTCAAAAAAACCCAACAAATGAGGAAGTGCAACCAAGATGCTTCTTAGAGGGAGGATGGTGAAACGTCATCTCACATCTTTCAGGCATGTTGTCAGGAGGGGCTGGTCATGGGTAAAAGACATCATACTGGGAAGAACTGGGGGTCAGAGAAAGAGAGGAAGACCTTCAAGAAGACACAATGACTGTAACAACAGGCTGGAGTGTGTGAGATCATGAAGGTGGTGCAGAATAGGGCAGGGTTCAGAGCTGTTGCTAATGGAGTTGTAGACGACTTAATAGAACCTAACAACAACAGAGCTTACTTCCTTACACCTGTCTTCCTCAAGGTCATGAGTATGGTGTCTGGGTTTGCCCCCCTCATCACTGCTGGGATCTTTTCTGCCACACTGTCCTCGGCTCTGGCCTCTCTCGTCAGTGCACCCAAAGTGTTCCAGGTAAGAGGGGCACAGTGCTGCTCTCTCCCTGCTGCTGTCTCCACCAAATATGGAGCAACCTGAGATAGTCTTTCTGACTGGCAATCATTCTCCATCATTTTCTGCAACAGTTTAATGCTTGCATCTGGCTCAAGTGCTATGTCTGCCACATATTCAAGATTGATTGAGATAATATAAAGAATGATAAACTGCTGTGTTAACTTGTGCCTCATATTGTGTGTCACTTCGTCTCTCCCCAAATCTTCTTGTTTGAATCACCTAGGGAAAGTGGCGGTTCATAGATATAAATGACAAATGTCTCCTCTTCTTTTCCTTTAGGCTCTGTGCAAGGACAACATCTACAAAGCCCTGCAGTTCTTCGCAAAGGGATATGGGAAAAACAACGAACCCCTGCGGGGGTATTTTCTCACCTTTGTCATTGCCATGGCGTTCATTCTCATTGGTTCGTAGTTTTCTTGTTCTCTCTAAAAACCAAAGAATCCTAATTATTCATCTGGCTTTCCTTTTAGCTTGAGAAATTACCTCTTTTATGTCCAATAGCCCGTTGGGGAGTATTGGAGTCTGTCTAAGAAGGAAATGAGAAATCCTTGCCTGTAAAGGGCTTTTGAGGAACTTGAAGTAGATGATGGACTTTTATATCTTCTTTGTATGTGGTCCATCCAACCAAATGCAGTGAAATTCTTCCTTTCCCCCAACCTGCCCAATATTATCTGATAGGAAAGATACCCTCAGCTGCTACTTCTCTTGGGCTCACAGGTAAATTGAATTGCCTGTATTAATATTACTCAAAGTATTACTTGTATCATCATCCAAGTACTTGTTAAAGTGCAAACTTTTCAAGGCTAGCCCCAGAATTATTGAGCAAGAACCACTGAGGATATGGAATCTGCATTTTTGCCAGTTCCCTGTGGAATTCGTTGACATACCATCATTTAACCACTTCCCTAGACTGTAATCTTGTCTCGATTTCCAAAGACAGACACATAAATTCAGAGAAACACATTCATCAACTTTAGTCTGCACATTCCTTGCTCTTCCCTAAGGCATCATCTTTCCTGTTGAGCCTGTCAGAAGAAAAGAAGCAAAAGCTGAAGTACAATTGTTTCTATACTACGGCAAGTTGGGCAGAGCCTTTCAGAGCTCAGGGGTGCTAGCTGGTGAGGATGTAACCCCATTGCATAATTTCAGGCCCATTGAGGACAAAGTGACTGTAATCCATCGATCCTCATCAAGTTTGTACAAGATTGGAGAGGGAGAAATATTACTAAGTGTGTTAGATTAAAAAAAATATATGAAACAAAAGTGGTTACATACAAAGGTCCCTCTACATAATTTACCTTTCAAGACCACAAACTACTGTCCCATGTCACATTTTAGGACCTCAAGCCTTAAAAACTCAACTCATTGCTGTCGAGTTGGGACTGACTCATAGCTGACCCTCCAGCAGATTTTTAGAGGCTGTAAATCACAAAAGAAACTGCCCTTTTATCTTCCATGGATTCGAACTACCTGTCTCTTAGTTTGCCACACAATTCTTCATCCACAAGCCACCTCAGGGTTTGGAGAGCCAGTTTCAGCAGTTGTTTTTGTTTAGTGATTTCTGGATAATGCCAATAGTTAGCCACTAACCCAATGACTGGGGGTTTGAGTCACCTAAAAGAAGCTTTGGTGGTATGCTAGTCGATAAGGGATCATGCTGCTAGCTCAGAGGCCTTGCCTGCTTCTCTGGCAGTTTGATTTCACCAGGGTCTCCTCAGGAAAAAGATGGACAATCTCCTTCTATATGATCTGTGGAAAGCCTGTTGGAGGGTCAGCTATGAGATGGTTCTGACTTGACAGCAATGAGTTGGGTTTGAGAGGCACTGCAGAAGCAATGTCTGGTGGTCTCCTTTTGAAATATCAGCCATTGTAAAACCTATGGAACATAATTCTTTGACACACATAGGGCCATTTTGAATCAGAATTGATTGGGAACAACTGCTTACTTTTCCTTCCTACTGTCCTTGTGTTAGAATCCTGCCCACCAACCGTCTGCATTTCCATCAGTGATGCTAACAGGAATCTGATCTTGACATAAATGGGGATATTTCTATATTATTTATTAGATCACATAATCCACTTGGGATTAAATAATATTGGATAGTTAGCCACAGCATTAAAATGATCTTGACGTTTCTGTATTATTTATTATATCACATTATTCAGTTGGGATTAAATCATACTGGATGGTTAGCTATGACATCAAAAGTATCTTGATTGAACTATGCTAGGTAGGGTTCACCAGAGATGTAAAGAAGCATAAATGACTATCAACACTTCTCAAAGTGAGAGAACATTTTGGGAATATATCATGAGATTTCCAGTTAGAATTTGCTGGCATACTGGGATTTCACTAACCTGTCACCTTGCAAAGTCTTTTAATGGTATATGCAGCAGATAATGAAAAGAAGATCTGGTACCTCCAGAACAGCTACAGTAGACTCTATTATCTGCCCAGCTCCCAATCCTCTATGTGCTTTCACTTAAATTTCTGTTGGTAGAGGTCTAGACTGTCTGGTTTCTGGTTGGTAGGTTTTTATGAAACTCTAAGAATATATTCTACAGTTAATGCAACCACAAAGAAAAATTACTAACTTCTTAAACTTTGACAAATGCTAGCTGTGTTTCCAATTTCCAAATAAAGTCAAGCTTCCAGGCTATAACAGCTGTTCAGTCCCTAGTCTCATCACTCATATGTACATACTGAATTTTGCTTCTTTTACAGCGGAACTGAACGTCATTGCTCCCATTATCTCCAACTTTTTCCTGGCCTCATATGCACTTATTAATTTCTCCTGCTTTCATGCCTCTTATGCCAAATCTCCAGGTAAGTTGACTCTTCAAAACAAAACAATATAAACAAAATTTGTCTGAGTAAATAAAATGAAACCAACTCAAGTTTATTCCAACTCATAGAGACTCTCCATTGAGTTTCTGAGACAGTAAATTGCAAGAGGAGATTGCCCATCTTCCTCCTGCAAATACACTGGTGGGTTTTAAACAAGGGAGAAGCACAGCCTCTGGGTTAGCAACAGAACTGGCTGCAGATGACACAACTAGGGCTCGCTAAAAAGGAAATAAATCCATGTAAAGTCCTAAACCTGTGTTGATATGTTTCCTCATATCCTAGTAGGCAGCATAATCCACTTTATTTTGGTAAGTTGGGGGATGACTTCTGAAATAGAAAAAGAATCATTTGAGCAATGGCCTTTTTGACCAACCGTAAAGTCAATTTTCTCCCATGGCAATAAATTATTCATTGCAAGAGAAACCACATTTATTTCAGCAGTAGAAAAACACCACTATTTATTTCCAGGGTGAAAGTGACCACAGAAGTGGAATAAATGTATATATTTGAAAGTTCCTTACTATCAATTTGTTTCCTGCCCATAGTGCAGAAGAGAAGGATGAGTAGTTCCCATAATTACCTGCTGAGTGCAGTAATGCGGATTCACATTAGAAGCTGGCATGTTGATGCTGGTGACCTCGGCCCATTCCTGAGACTGTAGTTCAAAGTGGCTTAAATTATCACACCAAAGAACCTTTCTCTGTGCCATCACCCTGCTCCTCTTCTTGGCTTTGATTAACCAATAGAATAAAATAGAATTTCTTCTGCCTTTCCACCAGAAGTGAGACTTAAGATTACTGATCTTCAGAAAGTTCTTCACGGTGATGAGAATTATCAAGGATACATACAGACCCAGCTTGGAAGGAGGAGTGGCATCCACTTTCATAATAACTTGCCTCCGGAAACCCTATGAACCTGGGGAGAGGATGAAAGGCACCCAAGCGTTGAGGACTCTCCTTCATAGAGTCACTATGAGTCGCCTGAGACTCGATGGCACTTAACAACAACATACATTTCCAGATTTTAGGGACCCATTACAATTCAATCCTCCTTTGGAAACTTTAATGTAAATGAGAGGAAACAGAGATGGAATGAGAAACTTTATTCACCAAGGAACACTACTATGTAAAAAAATATTTGGGGACTAATTTCTTGTTGTTTTGTGCCCTTAAATTAGAACCAACTCATAGCTGACCCTCCAGTGGGTTTTCAGAAGTAGTACATGGCTGGGGGGGGGGATTGCTCACCCTTCTCCCACAGAGCAGCTAGTGCATTTGCACTCTGTGCCTTTGGGGTAGTAGCACAGCTTCTTACCACTAGGCCACCATAGTTTATTGTATTAGTTTAATTTTTTTCCTGAAAAAGTTTTCCTTTTTCTCTTGTTCTTTTAAGCAGAAAGCTTTATTCAAAGATTATATTTTTAAAAATCATGGCACTATGTGCCCCTAATGTTATACTATGGTCAGCTTTTAATAACAATGTGAAATACAGAGATAAGCCAGAGACTGAGTAGAAAGGAAGAAAGAAAGGAGCCAGTGAGAGCAAAAGATGAAAACTGAACATCACATAGAGGAGGACACATGGATATCCCAGAGAATGCCTCTCACTCTCTCTCTCTGTCTCTCTGCCTCAGTCTGTCTCTCACACACACATACACACATACAGAGAAAAAGAGGGAGACAGAGAGGCTGGAAGGGAAGGAAGAAGAGATAAAGAGATAAAGCCAGATTCATTGAAAAATGATGTGTCTAGTGATGTTCTTGTAGTACTATTTCCATCTTGTGGCTACTTAGGAAATTGCTCTTGAAAATTTTTATAACTGTTGTGTTTTGGCAACTCTGAATTTTGAAATTAGTTAAGAAGAATTCTGGTGACAAATGAATGCCCTGTTACAAACAAAAAGAAGTTTAAATCAATCAGCTGCTCCTCAGGAGGAAGGGAGGCAGTATCCTCCGAGAAGTATTTATAACCATATATGACATTGGAAATCTGATGGAAGGTCTCCTCAGAACCAATCTGGAACAATTCTAAAGGAGAGTAGATGCCTAGTGCATTACACATTGGTTAACTAACCAAAATGTTGGTGGTTTGAATTCAGCAGATGCTGGCATCCTTAAAGATGTGCAGCCTTGAAAAAGCCCCAAAGATGGGTTTCACGACTCAGAATCCACCCATCAACAGCGGGTTTGGTGGTTTGTTTCTCTTTTCTTTTGCTTCTTTGGTTATGTATGAGGCACTTCTACTCTGTTCTATAGGGTCACTATGAGCCAGAACCAATGAATTACTATATAATGATACCTTTTCTTCTCCAGGGGATGAAATTCAAGCTTTGTTTTCTCCATGAGGACAATTTATCTATCCATATTCTTTTACCTTCTCCTTCTTGGACCACCAAAGTGTTCAACCTTCCCACTTGCTGGATTCTATTCTCTCTTCACTTCTTGACTCTTTTAACTCTTGATGGTAGAGAAATGAGATGGTTCTGATTTTGTAGTATGGGAAGACTGTCAGATGGTATTAAAAGAGCATAGTCAGCACGGGGACAGCTGAATCTGAGCTCTACTACCTCCACAAAGGAAAATTATCCCTATTAACAACATCCACAAGACAAAAACATTTCCTATAAAGCCAGACATTGTCTCCCAAGCTTCTGCACCTACTTCTACAAATTTCTTCACCAATCTTGCTCTACTAGGTCCAAAATCTATTGCAATGACTACACAGATCTCACAGCACCATACTCATGGTCATGGGGCTTATTGAGAAAGTTAACTGGTTACAATTTGGGCTGGTAATAGATTATAATTCCTACAAGTTCAGACAACTTCTCATGTGTGCTCACAGGCCCTTTGACCATCAGCTTCATGGTGTAGGTCAGTGTTTAAAATTTCCCTTAGTTCTTCCAATTATGACATCTTCTTTCAGTCCTGCCATAAGGTTGGGTGAAGTGCCCTAGCAGGAGTCACAGTCTGTTCTAGCTTATGTCAGTCTGGTTCTATACTGAGGCTGCTGCTGCTCTTGCATAGATCTTGGTCTGACAGATGAAGGAGCCTTTGGCCCAAAGACCTTGCTTCCTCTTCTTTGTTGAAAGTGAGATTCCCATCTTTACTGCTGAGTAAAAATAAGTAGTGTCTCTCTATGAAGATTTACAGCCTCCAAAACCTGAAGGAAAATTAGTGTCAATTCAATGGCAGTGGGTTTGGGGGTTTTTCTGGTTTATCAGAGAATATCAGAGATACAGAAAGCTCATGAATGACATGTTTTTCAGATGTTTAATGTTTTCTTAGAGAGCTCTGGTGTCCAAGTGAGTTAGCAGCTGAGTTGTGCTGCTACCCCAATGGTGGCACCTCTCTAGTGGTTCAAATCCACCAATATAGAGGGAAGAAATGGGCAATCTTCTCTCATCTTATTTGTTGTTGTTGTTGAATTGACCCATAGCTGACCCTCCAGTGGGTTTTTAGAGGCAGTTAATAGCACGGTAGGAGATGGCTCATCCTTCTCCCGTGGAGCAGTTGGTGGTCTTGAATCCCATGCCTTTATGACTGCAGTGCAACTTCTTGCCACTAGTCCACCAGAGCTCCTTCTCGTATGATTTACATCCTCTGAAAACCACATGGTAGGTCAGTTCTGAGTCAGCTCAGACTCAACAGCAGTGACTAAGTGGGTCACATTTTCTTAATGTCCTTTTATAAAATAAACCAGAGACTCAGAAAATACTAACAGCATTAAGAACTTAATCTAAAAATTCTACACCCAAATAAAACAAATCATGTTGGTTCTATTGTATTAACATGCAATTGTATGAAGGTAGTGGCTTGAAAATGTTCCTTGTGTGTGTGTGTGTGTGTGTGTGTGTGTGTGTGTGTGTATATATATATATATATATAATTTTTTTTAACATTTAGGATGGAGACCAGCATATGGAATTTACAACATGTGGGTATCTCTTTTTGGAGCTGTTTTGTGCTGTGCAGTCATGTTTGTCATCAACTGGTGGGCAGCTGTCATCACTTATGTGATTGAGTTCTTCCTTTACGTCTATGTGACTTATAAGAAACCAGGTAAGATAAGAAGGGCTTTTTATAGTTTTGAGTTTTCCAAAAGACTACCTACCTATAGGGTCAAACAAATATTATTTACTGAGTTTCTATGGGTGCTGTGAATATTAACTGTATAATGTAATGTAATTCAAGCCTGAGACTGAATGTCTTGGCAAGGGTGCCTACTTGTTAATGAAGCCAGTGGAATTCTGGGAGAATGACGTTACTTGATGCAGAACAGATCATTCAGGAGGCTGGGCTTTATGCGGAGGAATACAGCATCAGGATTGGAGGAAGACTCATCAAGAACCTATGTAATGCAGATGATATAACATTGTTGCTGAAACTGAGGCATACTTGAAGCTATTGATACAGAAGGTCACGGACTGTAGTCTTCAAAATGGATTGAAGCTTAGCATCAAGAAGACAAAGATTTTCACCACTGGACCAACTGGCAGCACTATAATGGATGGAGAAGAGATTGAGGTTGTTAATAATTACAACTTGTTCAGCTCCACAATCAACACTCTTGGCACCAGCAGTCAGGAAATCAGAAGATTAATTGCATTGGGAAAATCTGCAAGGTCAGGGACCTCTCTAGAGTCTGATGTCAGTCTAGAGACTAAGGTGCGCCTGATCCAGGCCATGGTTTTCACAACTCCTTGGTATGCATCAGAGAGCTTGACAATGACCAAGGATGACAAAAGAAGAATCAAGGCCTTCAAGTTGTAGTGCTGGAGAAGAGTCAGATGTGTATCAGAACACATCGAGGACCACCAAGAAAACAAATAGGTATTTTTTAAAGACAGTGAAACCAAGTTTCTCTTTGGAAACTAGGATTTTGAAGCTCCGTTTCACATACTTTGGGCACATGGCCAGGAGAAAATTATTCTTGGAGAAGGACATCAAGCTCAGAAAGGTGAAGGGACAAAATGAGAGGAAGACCCTGGATGAGATGGATTGATACAGTAACTGGGGCAACGTGAGTAGATGTGCTGGAGTCAGTAAGACTGGCCAAGGACAGGGTAGGCTTCAGAGCTATAGTACATAGGGTCACTATGAGGCTCAGGGGACTCAATGGCACTTAACAACAACAGTGTAATATAATAATGTTGTAATTGTGCACTACTGAGTTGGGACAACTCCCACCTGATCTTCCAGCAAGTTGTCAGAGGCAGTTATTTGCATGGGAGGAGGTTGCTGATTTCTCCCGTGGAGAGCCACTGGCATATTTGAACAGAATTCCTTGGGGTTGACAGTGAAATTCCTTACCCCTAGGTCACCAGAGCTCCTATTACTATTATTATAATAATGATTATCACAAGAAGACCCTCAATGGGATGAATTAATTCAGTGACTGGGTTGATGGGGGTAGGTGTACAGAGACAATAATGTTGGCACAAGATAGAGCAGAGTTCAGAGATGTTATACATAGGATCATTATGGGTCTCAAGTTACTCACTGGCACACAACAACAATTATTATTATCAAGGAGCTCTGGTGGCCTAATGGTATGCGCTGCAACTCCAAAGGCACATGGTTCAACTCAATCATCTGCTCCATGGGAGAAGGACAGGTAATCTCCTCCCGTGTCATACACAATCTCTGAAAAGTGGCTGGAGGGTGAGCTATGGGTCAATTCTGGCTCAAAGGCACACAACAACAACTACTTACTATTATTGTAATAGACATGCTGAGCACCTATTATATGCCATAAACTCATTTAACCCTAATGATGGAATTTTGTATTAGTCTCATTTTGTCATTTGAAAAATTTGGATTCAAAGAGTTAATGACTTGCCAAGGTAACATAATGTAATAAAACTGTTATTTTAGCCAGATTACATGTGGTGCCAAGTGCCATAAACTATCTGTTTATGTACCCTTCTGCCTTCAAAGTTGTAATGAATAAGATATAGTCTTTGACCTCAAAGAGTTCACAGATTTATACATAACAATTAACATAATGTAATAAGTATTTTGATAGTGACATGAAGCAAATCTTCAGAAAAAGGCAAAAAGTAGTAAATCTCTATTAGAATCTTCCAAGAAAACATTCATGGTTCATGGATTGGGTCCCTAAGGCCAAGAAAAACATGTACTGAATAAGCAAATAAGCAATATTTTTAATTTTGCTGTTGTTGTTTTAAGAAGACCAGGGGTTAATCAATTAGGAAAGGATATTCTATACAGGAGGTAAAATAAAAGTCAAGGAAGCACATGATAATAACATACTTGGGAACTTTTAAGGCCTTTAGTCCATATAGGTCCTAGAGAGAAACAGCACAAGGTGAGTCTGGGAGGGTAGGTTGGGGCCAAATGATTCAGATGGTGCCACAGTGTTTGGTTACTATTCTAAAGGTTGGTGGTTCAAATACACCTAGTGAGACCACTAGTTGCTATTAGTGCAGACATATTTTATTTCTCATTGCAAAGTAAATATGCATTAATGTTTATAGAAAACTGCCAAACATTTCTCCAAACTAGCAGGGTCATTTTGTATTTCTACAAGTAATGCATGTGTCCCAGTTGCTCTACATTCTTGACAGTTTGGTATTATTTGTCTGTTTATTTGCTTTTAAACATATCAATAGCTACAATGTTATCTCATTATGGGTTTAAGTAATGACTAATGACATTGAGAGTCTTATTTATCACTCATATATCTTTTTTGGTGAAGCATCTGTTAGAACTGCTCACTTTTTAATTGAGCTGTTTGTTATTATCGAGTTGTACGAGTTCTTTATGTCTTCTGGACACAAATCCTGCAGCATATATATGCTTTGAAAATCTTTTCTCCCAAGCTGTGACTTGTCTTTTTTTTTCTTTACAAATTGTTTTGCAGAGAGAGAGAGTTTTAATTTTTTTAATTTTATTTTGTTTTTTCATTCACATTATGTTTCTTATCATTCCCATATATTGTGTCTTATAAAATTAATTACCATTGATTTATGCCTCTTATCATCTCATCTTTTCATATCCCCACTGGATAGTTCCTAATTCTTACACCTTGTCCCTCTACTATGGGACCCTGTGACTCTGTGACCCCATGATTTTCCTCTTTCCCTACCCTGAGTCCTCTGCCCCCTCTACTTCCTTCTTTTATCCATACACATCTTACTAGTCATCCTATGTTTTTAAAATAATGGTTTTATACAGTAATTGTCCTTGTGAGCCTGAGTTAGTTCATGCAGCATAATATTATCTAGCCTCTCCCATGTTACATAGTAGTTTTCAAAATCGTTGTTTCTGAGTGCTGCATGGTATTCCATTGTGTGAATGTACCACAATTTCTCAATCCAAATATTTACTGATAGACATCCTATTCAATATTATTTTGAAAGTACTTGCTAGGACAATATGACAAGAGAAGGAAATAAGAGGCATCCAGATTATCAAAGAAGTGGTAAAACTCTCACTGTATGCAGACAATATGATATTGTACACAAAAAACCCCAAGGACTCAATAGAGAAATTGTTAGACCTAGTAGTCTAATAGAGTGGTAAGCTATAAGATCAATATACAAAATTAATGGGATTCCTTTAGAATAACAAAGAAAATGAAGAGAAGGAAACCAAGAAAGCAGTACCATTTACAATAGCCAATCACAAATTGATATACTTGGAAATAAACCTCATAAGTGACCAAAAAAAAGAAACTTTTATAAAGAAAACTACAAAACACTACTGTGAGAAACAATAAGAGACCTAACTAAATGGAAAAAATGTTCTTTGTTCATGCATAGAAAGACTCAATATAGTGAAAATGACAATCCTACCAAAAGCAATCAACCTGTTTAATGTAATCTCAATACAGATACTAAATGTATTTTTCAAAGAGATAGAAAAGGCAATATTCAAGTTTATTTGAAAAGGAGAGAGATACCAAATAAGCAAAATACTTCTGTAAAACAAACATCAAGTGGGATGCATAGCACTCTTTGATTTCAAAACCTACCTACCACACATAGGCAAGTCATATAATTTCTCTGGGTATTAATATTTTGGGATTGCTCTCCATATGATTTATACAAGTATTTAAAGATGGAGTTTATGAGAGCTGCTTAAAACTTAACAACAATGACAACAAAAATAAATTTTTTTAAAAAAACAAACCCTACTGCACAGCCATAAAAACCAAAACGGCATGATACTGGTAAAATGACAGATACACAGAAAAATGGAGCAGAATAAAAAACCATAGACATTTACCCATTTGACCATGTGGATCATAACAAATTACAGCTAACATTGAGAAGAATGGGAATTTCAGAATACTACATTGTACCCATGAGAAACTTTTACCTGGACCAAGAAACTGTTGTGCAAACATAACCAGGGTTCAAGCCTTTCTTCATATCTATTCAATCTACATGCTGAGCAAATAACTCAAGAAGCCAGGCTCTATGAGAAGACTGTGGCATCAGTATCAGAAGAACACTCATCAATAGCCTGTTTTATGCATATGACACAACCTTGGTTGCTGAAAGTGAGGAGGACTTGAGGTACTTTTTGAAGGACTATAACCTTCAGTATGGATTATATCTCAATATCAATAAAACACATCAACAAGGCAAAGAACAAGAACCATATGGTCCTATCAATTGATGCAGAAAAAGCCTTTGATAAAATCCAACACCCTTTCATGATTAA